TATATCTAATTTTCAAGTAAAGCATTTGATTTTAGTATTTTATTTATGAATAATTAGAGAAAAAGTGTTAAATTGTTTAGTTAACTGTGTTTTTGCAATGTTACTGATTTATAACCAGTGAGGCCTGTCTTGTGAAAGCCTATCTCAGAAATTATAAACTTGTGTATTTAAAAATATAATTTGTCATATAAAATAATTTAAATTACGTTTGTCACACACATATTTTCCATCAAAATACTAATCCTAGTGTTAGAGATATGTTAAATAAAAACAACAATAAATTTATTACATCTATACAGATTTTTTTGGTTTTTCTAAAGAGATAACATATTTTAGTTTGGAACATTTAATAGCTATTTCCTAATTAATTTCTTTATCAAAAAACTGGGTAAAGTGTACCAAAATGAGAGTATTTTCAAATACTATTGCAGTAACTAGAATTCTTTTAAATTACTTTAAATAAACATATTATCTAAGGGGAAATATTTATAGTCTTCCTATGTTTTCATAAGTTTAAATAGGTCAAATATCTAATCAATGATTTATCTTCACTCAAAGAAAGAATACTACACAGCATTTTAATATGGTTTTAATTCCTCTTGTTTAGAAGGATCTATATAATACCAGTGAAAAGAACTGGAAAAAGCACTAATTAAATTCATCTAAATAATTGGTTCTTAATGAGGGGCAATTCTGTCCCCACAGAACAGCTGGCAATGTCTGGAGACATTTTGGGCAGTCACGATGGGGGCGATAATCTTGGCAATTAGTGGGTACAGGGTAGGGTGCTGCTAAACCTTCCACAATGCAAAGGACAGCCTCTCAGAACAAAAAATTATTTGGCCCCAAATGTCAGTGGTGGAGAGGTTGAGAAGCATGATCTCAGTGTTATCTCTTTATAATAACTTTAAAAAGGAATTTGCTTTCTCCTTGCTGCTCTTTATTATAGGAGACACCTGTAATAATGAGGTGTAGGTACCTCCTAGAAAATGCAGGGTCTTCCTTCACGTACATTTCCCGAGCAGATAACTGAAAAAGAGATATGAGTGAATATTTTATGATTGTGGATATCTCAGATTTTCATAATTTTCCCTTGGAAATTGGTGATGTCGTTAAAAATTAGGACAGGGATATATGATACTGTGTCTCTGTGTTCCTTGGGGCCTTTAGATTGAGAGATTTTTATCTCTGAACTCTGAACTGTCACTACTACTATTGCTGCTATACTAGTCTTACTATTACAAATGACAACAAAAGCAAAATCAATAAACACATATCGAACCACAATAGAGTCTATTGCATAATGCTGTAAAGACCAGCTGACGTAACCCATTGCCTTAGCCCAACGCTAAGGTCATAGAAGTGTCAGCTTCATCCTCGGGTCCATCGAGATACCAGCAGTTGCTCTAGTAAAGTTCAGTTATCGTCAGTATTTTTTATTGGGCACTTTAAAAATAATATATGGTGAGATACAAAAGTAAGTAAAATATCATACATGATTTTGAGGGGTTTTTTTTTTGGAGATTTTGAGAAATATAAAGAGATTTACTAAAGGACTGGGCTCATTGGATTTGGAGGCTGAGTCTTAACACTTGCAGTCAGCAAGCTGGATCCAGGGGAGACAGGGGTGTAAGTTCCAGCCCGAGTCCATGTATGAAGGCAGTCAATCCAAGGGAGTAAATTCTCTCTTAATCCACCTTTTTGTTCTATTCAGGTCTTCACCGTCACAGACACACGCGAATAACGTTTAACCAACTATCTGGGCTCCCTGTGGTCCTATCAAGTACCCATGACACCTCTATTTTCCTAGCCTCAGTCCCAAGAGAGTAGACTCTGAGATCCAGACTTAATGCAGCTGAAGTATTTGGGAGGTGATTCAGGAAGCAAAGTGAACTAGTGAGGAGGTAAGGCAGGGAAGTGAAGAATGCCATTGAGGTGTGTTTTAATAGGGTTAGTCTTGTGGGAATTGGTACTAAATCTCTCTGGGTCTTATCTGATACTCCATGTAAGTTACAGTTTAAAATTTCCCCACCAAGGGGAGAGGAGGCAGAGAATTTATTCACCACATTCCATCCCTCACTGTTTCTGGGTTATTCCTGAGTGTATTTCCCAGTCTCAAACGGGGCTTATGTTACCCTTCCTCACATGCTATTACATTTTAGATGTGTAAATTGTTACAGTTTAGAAAACAAATTATCTTACAAAACTGGGCAAGAAGCTTAAACTGTTAAAATGTTTTGTTGGAAAAACATGTGAAGCACCATTGCAGTTGCTTTCAAACACACACAGACATGTTCAAACACACATACACATGTGACCTCACTCTGTACAGTTTTTTATTAAGTTTGTTATCCAATGAGTGGTATGAATTATTTTTGTTTTGTTTTATGTACTTAATTATCAAAGAAGATATCATCAATCAGACTACCTGATAGTGGAGTGTTCTGTAATATTTTATTTGAAATGCTGCATTAAGAATTATAATACATCCTGCCTCTGTTTAGCCTGACATAGTTCTGACTGTAACTCATTTAAAAATGTTCTGTGGTCATTAAAATATCTACCAGAGGAAACGCAATGGTGATTGCAGCCTTGGAAGAATTATAGGTGTTGTTCTCTACCAACTTTTTTATTTTCTTTCTCTTTAGTTTCAGTTTCTGTTCTTTTTGTCTTCCTCATACAGTCTACTCCTAGTCTCAACAGAGTAGCCATAAAATTGCACCACTTGGCTGCGCCTGTGATGGGCATCCCAGGCTCCTCTGGAGTTAGTGAGTACAGAACTCACTCACTAGGCCATCCAAGCGTGGTCCTCCATGACCTGCTTAAGCCCTCAGCTGAAGTCCTAGGAAAATCTAGATACTTAGTGTCTAAACTCTTAGAGTCATTGGATCAAAGGAAGTGACACTGGAGGTTATCCAGTTCAACCACCCTTTTAAACAGAAGGCAGATGTGTTGCTGAGAGATCAGTGCTGATATCAGCTTGCAGATACCAGCACAGCTCTGTCAGCTGATAAAATATTCCTATACCAGGTAATATATAGCCACTTCCTGGAGTCCCTGGAAACACGATGTCACCCCAGCTCAGTAGACACCTTCTACAGGTCCTCAGATCTTCCAACAGTTGAGCGACCAGAGGGAGAAAGCCTGCAGGGGAGGAACTCCAGGGCCCTGCCCTAGAGCTACAGCCAAGGTCCGTGGTTGATGTTTGGTACCTGTGCATACATACTCTTGTCAGATAGGTTTAGTATCGCCTCTGTTCGGTCTAGGTCACCGAGATATTTTCCCGAAGAACCCAGTATGCTTCTTACCCTCTTCACTCTTATTTTATCGTTATAGTGTATCATGCACACAAATACACCTGTTTCAAGGTCTTTTAAATCATAAACCATGCTTCAGTGCATAGGTTACAGTTTCAAAAATCCAGAATCATTTGATATGAGTGTTTCTCCTCTAACACTTGGGAAGGGGAGCTGTTTGCTAGCCAGCTGAATTACAAACCACTTACGCAGTCTTTGCTGTCAGATTTAATGTATTTCATGTAATCACCCAACCACAACATTGGATTTGAAAACTTTTAAGTTTATATATGTGTGTGTGTGTGTGTGTGTGTGTGTGTGTGTGTATCAACTTTTTATATATAAGTGTGTTATGCTTATATACACAGTTATTTATTCAGTAGCCAATGTAAATATCTGTTCCAAGTGATCTCGTCTGTCTAGTCCCACAAGCTGCCAAAGGCAAATTTCCCATCTTGGTAACAGGCTGACTTTGTCTATCACTCTAATTGTAACGCTGATGTCCCTAATTGTTAAATACAATTGTCCCTTGGTATCCACAGGAGATTGCTTCCAGGTTCCCCTGCAGATAACAAGGTCTTGGGATGCTCAAGTCCCTTACATAAAATGGCATCATATTTGCGTATAACCTACACACATCCTCCTGTATACTTTAAATGATTTCTAGAATACTTATAATACCTAATACAATGAAAATACTATGTAAAGAGTTGTGGGCATGCAGCAGACTTTAGTTTTGCTCTTTGGAACTTTCTAGGAATTTTTTTGTATATTCTTCATCTGTTGGTAGAATCTCTGGATGTTGAATCTGCAGATACAGAGGGCCAAGTGAATACTGTTTGCTATGATTATCTGATAGGAAAGAAGGAAGGGAGGGACAGTATTTACAGACTTGTCTTGAAACATGTTATTTCACAAATATTTATCTACCCTATATATACAGTTTACTACGTACATAACATTTTTGCAATAGATGATTATATAAATTGAATACCATCTATTTTTTACTCTTTGGAGAAAGTTACAGGATCCATTTCTCTTCAAAACAATATTTATTCCAATGCTAATTTGCATCCTAAATGTATTTTATCTTACTGACCTTTTCCTTGTCACTTTTCCAAGATAATCCATTTTAAGTTTTCATGCAGCTATTTCCTACTCAGAACTTTTTTATGAGTTGATGTGTCTCCGTTATCATATCATTCAAGAACGTATCTGAAATTCAAAACCAAGTGCACATTCCAAACTCTACAGGACATAAAGATTAGGGCAACTGCCTCTTTTAAGATCACTATTTTCAAGCCAGCTCTCAGAAAATGAAGAAATGATGGCCACATACTGTTAAGACTCACAGTGTTGCCAACTTACTTCCGTCTTCCAAGATGCAGAGAAAACCTTTGAAAATACGCTTCAGCTGTCTGTGAATGTCAGGTGTATAGTAACTGCACGTTCCAGATTTTAGAAAAGACACAATTTCACTTCTTTCTATAGTGGCAGTTCAGTTAACAACGCGGTGTAATGGGTAGACTTTTGAAGTCTTTCTGTAGAGCTAAACTAACAGACCAGGAGAAACCCTTTGTCAGATTGCGTGTCGCTATTTGGGGTTCAGAAAATATGTGTCACTGATGGAGCGCGACACTTTGTGGAGGTGCTTGTGTACGAGGCCATTTTCAAGTACGCTTTCTTTGTTTCTGTCCCGTGCAGCTGAGGGGGCCTGTGGAGGGACCTTACGGGGGACGAGCGGCAGCATCTCCAGCCCCTACTTCCCTTCAGAGTACGAGAACAACGCCGACTGTACGTGGACCATCCTCGCAGAACCCGGGGACACCATTGCTTTAGTCTTCACTGACTTTCAACTCGAAGACGGATATGACTTCTTAGAGATCAGCGGCACAGAAGCGCCCTCCATATGGTGAGTACTGGACAAGAAATGTCCTTACCACTTCCCACAACAGACTTTACAAAGTTGTGTTCTTTCCTTGCCTTCCTTTTTTGGCTGCTGAAATGTCATCTATATTGTGACTGATTTCCAAGTTTCTAAGATGTCTTTGTGCTGGTATTTGGAGCTGGAGACGTTATCTGGCCTTGGGCACTGGAACGTATCATGTCCTCATTTTGGATTCTTATAAAGCAACACAGAAGATGGCAGCTAAGTGAGCTAAGCTAGTTTTGGATTTGGTCTGGAGCTGATTCAGTGTAAACAGATATTTTTAGACAGTGGAGATTTAAAAATGTCATGTCACCAACCATTTGTCGCCTCTGCTGCAGATGTGTGATTGTGTATGTCTTTTCCTCCCTGGAGATGCTGCACCAAATCATATAACCACCTGTGAGGGTCACAGGCAAACCATAAATACTAATCTGATGTATAGATAATGCCAGTCATCTGATGATCAGTTCTCTGGTGTGTGTGCTAGTGGCAACAGAAGAAAACCTAATCAAATCCATTACAGTCTCTGGTGTATGGTGTTTCTTGTGTGAGAGCAGCTCTAGCTATGTCTATAAGTACAACTGAAAAGGGAGAATTCGAAGAATAAATGTTTAAAGACTTAAGGTATACTTTAAATTATGTTGTTTGTTATGGGTTGAACTGGGTTTTTTTGGTTTTATTTTTTCAATTTCTTAGCATTTTCAAAACTGCAGCTGTTATCTGTTTCAGGTCTTGAACAATAAGGAAACTTGACAATATGTATGTTCAAATTAAGTTGGGATAGAGGAAATGTTGGCTGTTTATGCATTGGTGGAGGGGATGAAATGAATGATTCTGAATATCTCTATAGGTTTAAGTCTGTATTTCAGTACAGAGACTAAAGGATAAAAATATCAAACCTGACAAATGTCATAAACTGTTTTATGTTTTAAACCAATTAGCAACATTGAATTTTATTTCCCAAGACTCAAAACTCAAAGCAGAGGATTCATATTTATAGTTTAAGTCATTTCCTTTCATTAGTTTTATTGTTCTTATGTTCAATTCTACTTCAGTTAAAAGAAAAAGAACCACTGCCTCTGTGATCTTTGTTTTTAATTTCATTGATCTGAGCAACACTTTTAGATCAGGCAAGCTTACCCTTTTGCTTATTTCATGTTATACAATTTAGAGACTCAAGGATTGGTTTATGTTATTATCTATCTACCTTTTTGTAACATCAGAGTTAGTGGAAACAGATACCAAACTGAAAGCTGAATGTCCTGGATTTTGCTCCAAGTTCTGCCCCAAACCTTCCTTGTGACCTTGGACAAATCATTTAACTGCTTGTATGAAAAGGGGATATCCTAAATGAGCTTTTAAATTAATTCATTCAACATCTACTGAGTGCCTTTCTCTGTGTATCACTGTAGGAGATGCAGTGATGCAACACCCTCCTAGCTCTAAAGTCACCTTGTTTTGGTTTCCAGAAAATCATTGCCATGCAAAACTACATGGTGACGGTTTCTCAGAAATTCAGGGACTCATGGTAAAAGCCTTATTTGTGAGAGATTCTAGAGATGATGGGCGTCACCTGGATGGTGAGGTGTCGGGCTGGGGGAGAGGAAAAAAACGTAGGCATATCGGAGGATGATTGTAGACTCCACAGTCAGGGTTGGCTTTCGCCAAACAAATGCCGTTTATGTAGGAAAGGAAACTCAGATGTCCATATCCAAGTCTGAAAGAAAAATAGGAATGCTGAACAGAGGTGCCAGTCCCGGTGGCGCAGAGCCTCGCAGGAGCCCTCGCGGCGCATTCCCACACCACGTGACCGCCCTGAGCAGGGAGCCCTCCTTCAGTTCACGTGTCTTCAGTAAGCGGTCCCCAGGAGTGAGACGATGATACTTGGCTTGGTTTTGCCTCTTTCTTCTTTTCTCATCCCCGCTGGTTTCTTTTGCGTCCTCTCTTCCCCTCTGTTTTGTCTCCATCCGTCCTTTCCCCCGACACGGGTCCCCTCCAACTTCAATACCAGACTCAGAAAAATGTGCTCGGATGGGGTCTTGAATCTGCTAAAATTGCCATCTGTCGGAAATGCCAGGTGAGGCCACGGCAACTTGCGGGGCCTGATAGCAACAACTGACAATTGTGACATAGAGAATATTGTCGTGGCAGCCAGAGAAACTGCCCTGTGTCTTCCTGGTGTTTGGATTCAGACTGGAAGACATTTTCCAGCTGTCTGAAATCCCCCCGTATTTGCCAGGGCACCAAGATCAATGATCCAGCAGCAGTTGGGAAGAACTGGGCAGTTGATGGAAAAGTTGTCCGTGGGACTTTGACCCTGGGTGCCTTCTGGTCTGATAAAATCGGTTACCTGTTGGTTCATCGTGATTTCTCTGTTTCGACAGCCATTATCAGACAGAGAGTTGTACTGATCATTATACTCTCCTGATGATTTGCATTTCCCTGATGGCTTGGCACAAAAGCGCCGTGGGGTAGTTATTAGTATATGTTTCCTCTTTTGATGAAGAGTCTGAGAGGCACAAAGGATAAGAGATGGCAAAGCTGAGGGAGCGTTGGCAGAGCTGCAGCTGGATCTGCAGGCCCCTGAACCCAAACTAGGTTTCCTTTTTACTGTAAGACCGTCCCCCCAGTGGAAGAACCCAGGTCTGAGCTTAATGGCATGTCAGGAAGTTCCCTTTTCTCTGTTTCAGGACTGCACTTTGGATCCTAAAGCCTTGGGCAGACAACCACCGTAGGGGAGATGGGCCACTTGAGAAGCCATTTAGCACACACGCTGCAACAGGAGAGTCAGGGACAACAGGGACAATGTCAGGGATGACATTGAGTGTTTATCACAATTATAAAGAGAAAGATCCTGACATGGCATAGGACCCCTATTCAACAGAAGGCTCTTCAGTGGAGGCAGCAAAGGAAAAGATGGTTTTCCTAAATCAGTACTGAAACACACGCGGGCACATTTACAATACAGAACAGGATCGCTTGAGTTACCTTCTCAGATTTATACAAATGCATAATAGGGCTTATCTTCAAAAAACTATTATTTAACCGTAACTTTCAAGTGACTGCCTCTGAAATGTTTCATGGTCTAAACTGGTACATTTAAAAGATTTACCCATCCCTGAATTGCAAGAAAAATACTAAGTGGCCGTGTAGGTGGATGCACCTCCTTTTAGGCACAAGGTTACACGGCAGCGGCAGTAGGACAGTGCTAATGGCTGTGAGTAGAGAGAGTGCACACACACGTATAATTTTCCAATAATCTATTTTTAAAAGACAAACTGTACAAGCAAGGGCACTCTCAGAAGAAGCTACTTGGGAAATTGTTAAGAACAATAATAGGATTAGCCTTATTTTCATTTCATTTGGAGTAAAATTACCAACTCAGCTATGTTTTATGTAAGGGTTGCCATGGCTACAGCAGAGGCAGTCTAAAAGCGGTGGATGATGTAAAGTCCCAAAATTATCCATGTATTAAACGTGGCCGGGGTGTCATCACTTAAGCCTAATCGACTCTGTGTACATCAGATGAGGCTGAATTTGTTTTTAACTGGTCAGGTTCTAATTTTAGATAGGTTGGCCTCTTATCAATACCCTCCTTTAAGAGAGAGCTGCCATGCCTAGTTGTCTTTGCAACGTGGTCCAGTAATTACGGTTTTTTCCTGCAGTTGAAAACCTGGTTAACAGTAAAGCTAGCCACACATTCTTACTTTCTGAAGTGATTTGATGGGGTGGCATCTAACTCCTAATTCCCGAAGAATCAAGAAGGCAGAAAACTGATTTTATTTCAGAGTTAAGTTACTAAGGTTTCTAAATTAAGATATGATGGTTAAAGGGATGTTCCTAAGAAACATCACAGAGTCTTGATGAGAAACGAGGAAGAGAGCATTTACTATCTTCAAAATATGCACTCATATTTGGGAATAATTATCTACCCCATTTCATGGCAGGGAGTGTGTGTATAGGGTAGAGAAGGAAACAAAACGAGGGCTAAGAAACGCATTTAAAATATGCCCCAAAACTTACTTAAATGCATCAGTTTCTTAAAAACCTTCAGTGACTGAGCCATGGGCCATCGCAATAAAACCCGAAGGCCTTAGCATGTCATTCAAGGCTTTTCAGAGCTTGGCCCACCTTGCCCTCCAGTCTGGCCTCCTCTGCCCGGCAAGCACCCCTCACTTTGCCCCACTGAATGCACCCCTGTCTTCACCATAGCACGTTTGTGTCTCTTGCATGCTTGGTCAGGAACCAGCCTCCACAGGGAAGGCCCACGTGGCCCAATTTAACCAACATTAAATTGACATATGGATGGTAGAACATTCGAAGAAGTACCACCAGTGGGGCAGACAGTTACATATCTGCCTCCCTGGAAAACCTCAGTGATCATCAATGCAAGAATGCTTCTTGGCTGATTTAGATTAGAGCTGACTTCTTATAGCAATAGAAAATCTGCTACTTTATGATATTTTTTAAGGCTTAAGTTCAATCATTCACTAACCAACACGACTCTACCCCTTTGCCTGTCTGGGTGATGCACGATTACATATAAGAGAGCAAAAAGTCGTGTTGTCACTACACTTTATTTGGTTCCCATTAACCAGGCACAATTTCACCATTAAACCAATCTGATCAGTGACTTGCTGAAGCCAAAACAGAACTTCAAAGGAACTGGCAAGCTGAGCGAGCTTCAAAGAACCCTTGAAGGGTCAGTTAACACCTATGGTGTTTATCCAGCTTGTCACTTAATTGATAACTGACTTGGTGTATATTTCATTTCTAATGAGGACGGATTATTGAGGCACACACAGAGCAGAGACGCCCTGAAATCAGTCCTTCTGTTCACCTGCCCAGGATACAAGAAAGGAAACCCCTTCCGCTCCCTCCTCGTTTTAGTTGTTAACTGTTCATTTTAAAATCATTTCACAGAGAACTTGTACAACCAGCTCAGAGAGTTGGTATATCACCCAGCCCAGCTTCCCTTGACA